CGGGCCATGCAGAGCTGCAGTTGTGCTCCTGCTCTGTCAGCACGGTGGGGTGGGAGGAAGGCTAGCGTCTCGGGGCCTTGCCGTGCTGCGCCGTAGCTGCTCCGGCCCCGAGTCGTTCCCTTTCCTTCCCCCGTGCTGTTCACAGTGGCTCCTGCGAAGGAATTGAGGCAAGTGGTGCAATATCCTGCCTTTGTGTGTGCTAGCGCCTGGCGTCCCCTGGGCCTGGCAGGGATAAAGGCCCTGCTGTCAGCTGGAGGTGCTGCCCTTCAGCTCCGGCGCTCGCGGGCGCTGGGGTTTGGAGCGGAAGGGCCGGGCCCGTCCCTGGCGTGCCATTGCTATTGTAGTTGTCTGTCACACGCGTCTCGCTAAGCAGAGGCCTTGGGGAGATATTCTTCAGCAAAGGCCCCTACCCTCTCAGATGACAACCCTCGAGGGGCCCCACCACTTCCTCAGAGCTCTGGAGAGCTGCGCCGAGCCCCGCGGGCACCTTCCTGCTGGTAGAGACTTTGCGCGGAACAAAAGCCTCCCGTTGCGGCCGCTTCCCCACGCGGCCCCAATGCCAGGCCTGCGCCAGGGCCCCGCGCCGCAGTGCTGAGCTCCCCGGTGCCTGCAGCGCGCTGCCTGCCGGGACACCGGTCTCCCCTGGGCTTGGAGGCCCTGCTTAACCTGTGCGGTGCTGGGTTCCCCAGCGAGCAGCACGTGCTGCCCTGGGACGGTGCTCCCTGGAGGCACCGCTGGCACCCCTCTTCCCCCTTGCTCCGGTTGACAAGCGGTTGCCAGCCAGGCGCAGGGAGATGTTCCCCTCTGCTGAGCCTTGCTGGGCTGCGTGGAGCCCAGAGGCAGCTGCTGGTGTGCGGGGTGAGGTGGCTTTGGGGGATTTCTGGGTGATTACCGGGGTCTGGGGCTGCCCGTGGCACTGCTAGCTGTTTGAATCAGACCTGCCGCTGCCAGGGCTCTGCCAGGGCTCTCGTTCCCCCCACTGCGGGGCGTCCCTGTGAGTTCCCTGTGCAGGCAGGGAGCAGCCAGGACGTGCTTCTGGGCAGCCCGTGTGGGCCGGACGTGGCTTTGCAGTTCAAAAAACTCCATTCCTCCCTCTTCCTGCAATGTCTGTTGTGAGAAACTCTCGCAAGGAGAGGCTGGTTGGGAAAGAGGGAGGGACCCTCCGGACGCCAGCAGGCAGCCTGCGGGATACTGTGGGCAGCGCCCAGACGCAAGTTATTGCCAAGGCACCATCTGGCCCCAGCAGAGCTGGGGTCCCCCCGTGAGCCAGGTGCTGTATGTGTCTAGTAATAAATAGCTCTTACTGCAGGGACGGGGAGGCAAGTTCCTGGTCTGCTACTGCAACAGCCAACTAAAGCGTTCAGCCCTCCTCCAAACGCAAAAGGTGTCCCCAGCTCCTGCGGTTAGAAGGAAAGCAGGTGAATAGTGCAGAGGAGGAGAGAGAAGAGGCTGGGACATGCAGCTGCAGACCGACTGTCCCCATTAGTCCTGGGTGATCCCAGGCTCGGTGCGAGGCCCAGTGTACGGGGCCTGGGCTGAGCCCTGCTCCACCGTGCTGACAAAGGGGTGTGTTTCTCCGTGAGCCAGATCAGGCTGCGGCTTTCATGGCTGGGATGAGCTGCTCTCACTCCTGCTCGCCCTGGCCGCTGCCGCTGAGGGCGGCACTCAGCAGCGTTCCTCAGCTGGTAAATGGGGTAGGACGGAAACAGGCCCGAAACAAAGGCAACAAGTCCCCACTTACCCAGCTCTTGCAGTTTGCAGGTAGGATGTGGGCATTTCTAGTTCCCTGGCTTTTCCCCTCGGTCGCCTTAAACCTGTGACAGAGTCCTGCTCAGCTGCGGAGCTTCCCTGTTGCAGCTGGGCTCCTATCTCACCTATTTACAGGTCAAGGGGGGGCAGCTGACTGGTTGCGTGGAGGCTGGAGTCGATGTAGCCCACTGCTGTGGGAATAAATACAAGGCTAGTTCTTCCTGTGGTGCCACTCGCCCTTCAGACCTAGCGTGGGGCTTGCAAATGGCACTGGCTAGTTTCACAGGGCTCCGGGGTGGATCATTAACAGTGCAGTGTGGTGCCATGGGGAAAAATCAGATTTCAGGTACATTGAGAATTTGAAGCGTCTCCTGTGTGATTCTCAGCTGTGCCCAGGAATGGTCAATAGTCCCTGCCTAATTTCTGGGCCTGATGGGAGCCAGGATTCCCTAGGAGAAGATGTGAGGACGGAGTGAGTGCTAACAGCATGCAACACATCTGCATGTAAAACGATGCTCCCAGGGATATACCAGTTGGGTACAGCAAGGTCTGATTCTGCTTTATTCTCACCCCGAGCATTTGTTCCCATCCGCAGCTCCGTGTGCTGTGTGTGCTCCCACCAGCATGAAGCTGCTGTGCTCAGAGCAGCCGCACCTTCAAGGGTGATAACTAACTGGAAGCAAATTTCCACCTAGGGCTTGTTTGCTTGTTCCCGCCAGGTGCGTTTTAGTTTGTATTTACAGCCAACGTGTCCCACCCGCCGCCTTATCAGTCGCTATCACAAAATCCTCCTGCGCCATCAGGCTCGGCTTGCTGCAACATCTTGTCTTCCCAGCATCCTCAGGCCCCCTGGCCTGAGGCCAGTTTAAGCAATAAGTCAAACATGCCTGTGGTCCTGTTTCGCATCTCAGCTCCTTTGCATCTCTTGGGGATCTCGGGCTCCAAAGCTGGGAATCTGGGTCCCCAGATGGGTGTTGTTGGTTTGTCCATAGTGTGTGTGCAGGAAGATAGCTTCCTTAACAAGATAAGTCTGGGGTGCTCTTCCCTGGGCCTCTTCAAGGTCTTGGCACTGGAGGGGACAGGGCTCTGCATTGGGATGCTGCTGGCATCTTGTTATGCTTCTTCTTCCATCCTGTAGGCCTGGCCCTTATGTCATTAATGCAAGGGACCCTTCAGTCCTTGGCTGCCGTATGAGTGCTCACACGTCTGGATCTCGGACACCTCCTCTCACCCTCCTGTGTGATTCTCTGTGAGAGGACGAACCCTGGGAGTTACCGTGGGTGCCACAACAGCCTCCCCCATGGGGCTACCTCTGCTGTTCCCCCCACCCCATGTCCTGCCTGTGCTGTGCTGGCTCACCCCAGGCACCCGTCCCCACAGGGACCGCACGGGGGGTGCTGCACCCATCCCAGCAGGGCTCCAGCACGGCCCTGTTGCCCACAGCTCATGGCTTGGACAGCGGGCGATGGTGACGGCTGGCTGCTCAGGGCAGCGTTGCGTGCATCATAAGGCGCTGGTGGTTTCCCAAAGGCGAGCAAGGCCCTGGAGACAACGGCAGGACA